GCACCTTCCATCTGCCAACCTAACTTGCCGTCTCGTCTTTGTAATCCTTCCTAGAGCAGCAATATTGTCCGCCAATTCTTCGCTAACGAAGCTTGCCGTTGCTCCGGTGTCGATTGTCGCTTTGTAGCTGTTCCCACCAATCATCACAGCTGCGGACAACTGTTGCCCCTCCTCGATTAGCTTGCCCGTTAGTTTGGAGAGGTGGCATTGTGCGATCCCCGCTCGCCTCTCTGCGGCTGAGATCGCTGGCCATTTCCCGATCATTGGCAGCAATCGGCGCCCCTGACACCCACCTTGCCGTATATCCAGCAAAATAACAGCCGCTGGTTTCGACATCCTCTAGCCCAGTGTCCGTTCCCACCGCATTTTCGACAGGCCTCCTGCGGGTCTGTGATATGGGTGGCATCTTGTGGCCTCTGTGTGTTTCTTGGCGGCCTCCACACGGTATTGTTTGGCTGTCGCTGTTGCTGTATGGGTGGTGTCCAATGACCTCCGCGTGGTGCGTCTGTTGCTTGCTGTCGTCTGGCTTGGTGTGGTGGTGGCCATTGGTTATCTGTCTCCTCGCATCTTCTGCATGTCACCTGCGTTGGTGACGCCGACTTGGTCTTTGATAACTTGTTCTCCTGTGCGAAAACTTCCCGTTCCTTTTCAAGTTCTTCGTACTCATCGGCTAGGATCATTAGCGTATCCAGGTCCGACACTTTGTATGCTCTTAAGAAAATCCGTAGGCTTGGTGTGCAGTTCTCTTTAATGACCCTAAACGTTTTTTTCGTAGAGTAGTTAAGTGGCCTCACCATCGTCTGCATGTCGATCATGTAGTCCTTGAACGACTCGCTGAAGCCTTGCTTCCGTTGCCGGACCTGGTCCGCTAGCCTGGTGAAGAAATCTCTTGGCAGAAAATAGGTGTGGAAGCTTTCTATGAACTCTGCCCAGGTTCTCCATTGCTTGTTGTTGGCGATTAACCATTTCAACGTCCTTACTTTAAGCAACTCCGGCATCGCTCGAGGGATCATATCAAGGTCCAAGCCGTACGTGTTGGCGGACCATTCTACCTGTTCCAGGAACTCAAATGGTTTTTCCGCCCCGTCGAACCTGAACGACCATTCGCGGACCTGTTTAGCGACCTTCGCATAGTCCGACTGGCTTGGTCTCGGGGTCAGCGCTGTTGTTTTCTTATCGTGGCTTGACTCTCTCCTGTGGGCCTCTTTTTGCATGTTGTCAAAGCTCAGGTTTTCCACTTCAGCGTTTGTTAACGTAATGCTTGGGCCGGCTCTGTCGTGGTATGTTGCTTCCAGCTCGGCCCAGATGTCGACAAGTTGTGGGTCGTTCTCTGTTTCTGAATAGTATTCCGACAGTGCCTTCCTCATGTCTTCTAGCCTGCCCTCCAGGGCGACATTAAGCCTCTGTGCGACATGGGCGAACTCCTCCTTCTTGAGGCGGTAAATCCACTTCTTTCCCATTTTTGTTGTGCTGTTCTCACTGTTGGGACAATCACGTTGGGCGCCAGATGTAACGAACTGATTTTGTGTGTCTGCTCGCTACGAGATTCGTGCGGCTAGCTCAGAAGATTGTGTGTTCGACCCACCAAATTTATATTCTTGGACGTTGATGCACTATGGTCAGTACAAACAAGTGGCCCTTACGACACCAAGCAATGCTTGTTACGCGCGGAGCCCTAAACCGATTTGGGCAAGTAAACGAAATCGCGGACATGGAAAAAGACGACATAACAATAGACAGTTTAAAATACATGCTCACATAGAATGGCTAGTAACATAGAAATTTACAAATTATTGGAAGATAGAAAATACATAAGTTTATCATAATTAGTTGCATTAGGGCTATCAAACAGTAAGACGTGACACAGTGCATTATAGTCGTCACAAAGAACCCGAAAAGGATCATGAAGGGCATAATTGGATCTACAAATTGGCAGGGACAACGGACGAAAACGACGAACTGTTCTACAGGGTACATTCCAGTTGAGGGAACTAAGAAGGAAGGGAGAGTCAACATCACCATTAATTAATTTATGCAAAACGTGATTGCCCGTAGATCAGTGAGAAAACAAAGGGGTTCAAATGGTAACAGTGGGATTTATTCTCGTGGTATTAGTACAGCGGGTGTGTGGCTTCGGTATCTCCTGGCTCTGGTTCCGCCGGCTGCTGGCGCACCTCTTTCTGGCTCCTCGACGCGTTGACTCGGCTTCCACTGGATCCTGGGCTTCGGGACGCTCGTAGTGGCCGCCTCCGCTTGCTTGCCGACGCGCTGCCTCGGGGTCGCTTGTTGCGCCTTCGACCCGCAGAGAGTTTGGCCTTGTGGGCTTAGGGAAGCGTCACCGTTCTCAGACTAGGGTGAACAAGCCTTGCTCTCCAGGTTGACGCCTTTCGAGGCAATACCTGTCCCTTGCTCTGTCCCGCTAGGTTCTTGCTCAGTTCGCGCTGACAGTCAAGGCAGCCGCCAGGAAGCTGTCTAGCGGTTCACTTCGCTTTACGCCTAGCGCAGACGAACGTTCCACCCGGCTTCACCCTAATGCGTGACGTCCGCGACGCTCCTGCGCTCCCCAATGAGTTCCGCGCGGCGATGGTAACGTGGCTGCCGGAAATGTCTGCTGGCGTCGCTGTCGATGTCCTCTGCGCTGTCTTCTGACCAGTATCTCGTCGTTCTGGCACTCGGGGAGTTGGGCGATCGCTGTTCGGGAACTTCGCCGGTAATCGCAGGGCTCTCCAGGCGGCCGCCTCTTGAAACCACAAATCGATCTACCGCTCGTCCGTCACGCCAGGTCCTGCTTGGTCGGGCAAGGTACACTGGGTCACAGACAACTTTCCTCCCCAGGCTGACGGTTCTTCGTCGTAGGACTCTTTTGCTTGTCTCTGACAGACCCGCCGGGCGACTCGCCAGGGTGTGGTCGTGACAAAGTTGGAAAACAAACGCCTTGACTTAGCCGCGTGACGCCTTCCAGAACTCAGCCACCTGTGTCTCAATTCGGAGATTCCTGATGTCTCAATCCCGAACGTCTCGACGTGGCGATCTTGCTCCTTGTGTGCTTCCCACGGTGCTGCTTCCGACGACTCGCTTGGTTGTAGCTCCCTCGTAGATTATTGGCTTGACTGACTGTTTACTTGGTACTTTAACTGATCTTGAAGGTTTGACTCCTCGTGATCGACTGAACCAGCTGCCAGCGCTCTGCGGCCTTATATAGAGCCTCCGGGAACCGTTATTTCCCTTTTGCGCACGGCCCGCTGGATCTCTCCACTCTGGGTCCAAAGTCCGTGACTCCTGGTTGACCCACTTGTCCTTCACGTACCGCTTCCAATCGATGCTCCGCCCACTGCTGCCATCCCGCTGGTTCCCGTGATGCTTGTGGCACGTCTGTGTGCCGCTCCTCTGTCGAGATGTGGCACTTCCTCTCCCGGTCCAAAGTTCACGGGAGAGTCCAAAGTCCGGTGGAGTTCCGTTATCCTGTTTTTGCACACGGCACTCTTGCCTTGCCCGCGAAGTCTCCATTCTCTCTCGATCTCCATGCTTGGTCTCCAAACTCTCTCGCTCTCCGTCCTTGGTCTCCAAACTCTCTCGATCTCCATCCTTGGTCTCCAAACTCTCTCGCTCTCCATCCTTGGTCTCCAAACTCTCTCGTTCTCCATCCAAGTCTCCAAACTCTCCTCACCGCGCCGTTACTACTCGAATTCGCCGCGTAACTGGTAAGCGGCCGGCCATCTGCTGCTGCTTCTATTTGTGGGGAGTTATTCAACTCCTCACAAGATATTCATTTATATAAGATAGGAACCGTGTTCCGACGAACTTACCCTCCTTTTAATCCAGGGCGATGAGATCTCGACGCTCCGGATCCTGGGCTTTGGGAGATTTTATAATTGGTTTATATATATATATATACGTGCAAGGCTTGAGGGCGGCTTACAAAAACAAAACACAAAAATTACGTTACACAAAAAAAATAACACTATCGCTGTATAGATATGTATGTATACATGCATCGTATGAGAGTTCCACTGCGGCGCACGTCAGTTCCAATGCTCGAGCTGGGGCTGGTCGGTGCAGCTCCAATTTCTTGTTCACGTATGTATTTGATCGTTCTGTTTACACTTGCATTCAGAAATGCATGTATTCGCAAATTGTTTGTAATTGTTTTTGGTGATTTAGTTTTTGTTAATTTTGAATGCAGTTTATTTGCCTTTTATTGGTTTTTATTGTCTTTTTGTTGTTTCACTTCACTGCAACTACTCGGCTTATGTTCCGATGTGGATCACCACTTTCTCCAGGGCGTGATGTTGGTCGCGGCGTCTCTGAACAGAGCGCTTGTACATCTTAACAACCTTAAGGATCACTAGGACTAGGAGTAGTCCAACGATGAGCTTCATGGTCCTGTTGACATCTTGGATATCGTTCTTGTGGTCAACGATCTCTACGGTGTTAATCACATTAACGGTGCTGCCGGCCACTTTGGACGTTTTGCTGCCCATCTTGGGGTCCTTAGGCCATGCACTTGGTTCACTAGTTCTTTTCGTCCTTCAAGATTTGTTGCAGGTTGACTTCCTCTAGAATGTGGTCGATCGCAGGACCAGTAATCAGGACTTTCTCCTGAGTGAAGTTGATCCTAGGGAAACTGTCAAGACATCCTTCTGGACACCAGCCTTCGTCCAATCGTGGTCTGTGTTGATGGTAGTTGTACTTCTAGACCACTGTCACGGGGGAGATCAGAACAATTTCTGTCTGACTTCTCTATTTGGCCGGGGTCTTTTATACCGGACTAGAGCTTTCGCTAGCTCCCCATATTGGATGAGTTAACTAAGTGTTCCCACCTAGGGGTACTGTTTCTCTATTTCCCCTATTTTAGGAGTCAACGGCCGGCTGGTGCACTTTGCCACCTTACTAGAGTACGGTTACGAGCAGGTCGATGCTCTTGCCACGCGACACCCATGAGTTTTTGCTGATTTGCCCTTAACAATTGGAGTGTGGTTAGTCATTAGGGCATGTAACACTTGGGAAAAGGAGGCGCCAAGCGTCATCGCAAAGTGCTGCGGGATAACATCCAGGGTATCACTAAGCCAGCAATCCGCCGTTTGGCTCGTCGCGGCGGTGTAAAGCGCATCTCGGGACTCATTTACGAGGAAACACGTGGCGTTCTGAAGGTGTTCTTGGAGAACGTTATCCGCGATGTCGTCACCTACACCGAACACGCCAAGAGGAAGACTGTCACAGCCATGGATGTTGTGTACGCCTTAAAGAGGCAAGGCCGCACCCTATACGGCTTCGGCGGTTACTTCATTCAGCAATCGGTCCTTTTCAGGACCACCATTCAAATTTTCGAAGGAGAAACCAATTCAAATAATTTTTTGATTAATTGGCCTACTGACCGGGAACTCGAAAGTTGATACTGCATATACATATTGCATTAAACCAAAATGAAATTTCAAATGGGTAGTTCAGGTTAGTGTTTTGTAGAAGCTGTACCGCTTGCAGATACAGCATTAAAGGAAATGCGTCTTTTTGGCGACGAACTTCTTAGAATATTCCAGATCTTATTTCTGACCAAGTGCTATAGGACCAACGCATATACAAAACCTACATCTGTTTCCCAATCGATATTTCATCGTATTTTCTTGTTTTAATAATATGATATACGTATTGAAAAATCTTTACTTCTTTGGTAAAAACTTGGTCGTCCTGAAAAGGACGGTTGGGTTTGTTTTTTATGTACAAGTATGTAATTGGCTCCGCATTTAAAACGTTTAAGCCTTCTTCTCGGTCTTCTTGGGCAACAGAGCAGCCTGGATGTTGGGCAACACTCCACCCTGGGCAATGGTGACGCCGGAGAGCAGTTTGTTCAACTCCTCGTCGTTGCGGATGGCCAGCTGCAGATGACGAGGAATAATCCTAGTCTTCTTGTTGTCACGAGCAGCATTGCCAGCCAATTCGAGAACCTCAGCGGCCAGATATTCCATCACAGCAGCCAGGTAAACTGGAGCGCCGGCCCCAACTCGCTCGGCATAGTTGCCCTTGCGGAGCAAACGGTGAATACGGCCCACTGGGAACTGAAGACCGGCACGGTTAGAGCGGGACTTTGCCTTTCCCTTCACTTTGCCACCTTTTCCACGACCAGACATTTTTCTTTACGAGTATTTCACTTATGTAGTTCACTTTACACACTGAAAACGAATGCTCGACGAGCCCCGGGTAGCCACATATTTATACTTTTGCGCCTGCCTGCGCGTTCATTTAGGGGTGGGTGCCTTAGACCTGAAAACATTGCTCGAAAAAAAGTATAAAGATGAACGCGCTTGGGCACCATTATGATCAGTGAGTTGTGTTTGTGAAATCATAGTGGAAAAGCAGCCAAGAAGGCTGGCAAAGCCCAGAAGAACATCACCAAGACCGATAAGAAGAAGAAGCGCAAGAGGAAGGAGAGCTACGCCATCTACATTTACAAGGTCCTGAAGCAGGTCCACCCTGACACCGGTATTTCGTCGAAGGCGATGAGCATCATGAACAGCTTTGTGAATGATATCTTCGAGCGCATTGCTGCCGAGGCGTCTCGTCTGGCTCACTACAACAAGCGCTCGACCATAACCAGTCGGGAGATCCAAACGGCTGTTCGCCTGCTCCTGCCCGGAGAGTTGGCCAAGCACGCCGTCAGTGAGGGAACCAAGGCTGTCACCAAGTACACCAGCTCCAAGTAATTTACTCTTGCTGCGTATGGGGAGAAATATCCAAAACGGCCCTTTTCAGGGCCACAACACATTTTACCAAAGAAACTTCATTTTCAATATACCATTTGCCAATCAAATTCGTGATATAAGTTCAATTTGAGTTTTTTTTTTTGAAGACCTTATTCTGGAGCTTTGTAGTATAGTTATTAAATCATGATCATCTATTGATAACGAATTTCTGCAATACTAGTCCAGGAACATTCTGCGACTTGCATTTTAAGATTCTCTCTCTCTCTGGTACAGCTGCTAAAATCAATGCAGCCACACTTCTGTGAAAAAAATGCTAACGGCCTAACAAGATAATTGGACAAGTGAAATGTACTAAGTTTTAAATTGAAAGTTCCTTTCTCTTGTTAACGAACGTTGTAGCCCTGAAAAGAGCTTGTTTAAACTAATTTCAGATTTCGAAATCTAAAATAGCGATTGCGAGCAGGTACCAGGTACTGTACTTTTGCACAATTTACTTCTTGGCCGCCGTAGTTTTGGCTTTTGGCTTTTTAGCAGTAGCAGGAGCAGCTGCTTTCTTCAAAGCCTTTTTAGGCTTAACAGACGCCGCTGGCTTGGCCTTTGGTGCTTTCGCCGCCTTTGGCTTCGCTGCGGTCGACTTGGCCTTGGCTGCTGCTGGCTTCGCCTTTACGGTTCCAGTTTTCTTGGCATCCTTGGCCTTCGCCTTCTCGGTTTTCTTCTTCTCTGCGGTCTTTTTGGTGGCAACAGCCTTCTTAGCCTTGGGCTTCTTGTCGTCAGCTCCGGCGGCAGCTTTCTTGGCGGTGGATCCGGTCTTCTTGACGGCTACCTTCTTGCTTTTCACCTTCTTCTCAGCAGACGCAGGCTTCGGCTTCGGATCCTTCTTGGCGGAGGCCGACAGTTTAAATGAGCCAGACGCCTCCTTTCCCTTTGTTTGGATCAGCTTTCCATTTACCACGGCCGATTTCAAGTATTTCTTGATAAATGGAGCAAGCTTCTGGGCATCGCATTTATAGGTGGCAGTGATGTATTTCTTGATTGCCAGAAGCGATGGGCCGCACGTTCCTTCAAATTCTTGATAGATGCGTCCACCATTTGTTGAGTTGGCGGATGCGATGGCGGGGCAGCAGCCTTTTTCACCTTTGGGCCAGCGGATCCAGATGCCTTTTTGGTGGCCACCTTCTTCTCAACTGGCGCTGACGGGGCAGCCACTGGGGAAGCGGCAGTTGCAACTGCAGATTCAGACATTTTTCTTCACTAAAATACATTTTTTCGTATAGAAAATGGCCCGCGCGCTTATTGCCAACCTGCTTCGTTCGGATGAGAATCGAGGAGGAGAGCACTTTAACTGTGCGTCTGGCATCAGGCATTTGCTCTGCTAATGTTTGTTTGGAGTGCAGACATATTTTATTGTTTTTAGTGCTTAAGATCCTAAAATGTAATAATCTTTTTATTGTTTTACATTCTTAAATGATCTATTAAGTAGGTAATGTTTTCAAAACGTTAGTATCTGGGTTTTGCAACCTTTTATTGCCGTATCAACTTCAACATAGACATTCGTAACATGAGCAATTTTCTTAAAAACCCATTTTAAAATATGATTTCTTAAAAATATTTTGTAATTGCTATTGAAAAAATAAATTTGAACCTTTTACTTAAATAAGTACTACAATTAAATTTACTTATCTTTAGTTTAGGTACTTTATTACATGTTCCAAGTTGTCCCTTGGCTACGTACAAAGTTGGCTATCCGGCTCCATTAGGCAATCGTTTTCTGACTGTTAAAAATATAAATATTTTAAAATATTGTATTTATATGAAGTTTTCTTAGATATATCATGTCTTTGCTTAAGACAATCCAGCTTTGGATGCATGTTTATAAACAGTTTTTACAAATTTTGCAAATTTGTGTTTCATATATGAATACCATTGGGGCCGCACTCCAGTTAATATTTAAGAAAAAAATTTAAAAAGTATACTTAATAATATTTTTCTTGTTTTTTATAAAACATTATGCATTCATTAACGCATATGATTTATTTTTAGATAGCGTTTAAAAGTTTTTCTATTTTTTGTTGGTGCTTAAATGTGTAATGTTGATCGTGGTTGTCCCACATAACCCTCTCGTTCTAAAAACATGCCGACATTAATAATGAAATTTTTTCAAAAAAGTACAACAATCAAATTGAATATATTCTATTAAATAAGTCCGATACTACAAAATACGATGTGTGACGAACCCGCCTAGAAGGCGCGTGCGCCACAATCAATATTACATTTTTTATAATAGCTTTAAGAGAAATACCGTGAATTACAATAAACATTAAGTTGAATTAAGAATAAATAAGTTATAGCTAAGTTCAGAACCCGGGGTGGCAACGCCAACCGATAGTTCATCAAGACATGTTAAATACTAGACAAGCAAAAGAGCTAAAATACCAGTAGTAGGAAAATACTAGAAATCCCGAATGCAGGAAAAGGGCGGAAAATGGAAGACGGTCACGGAGCGATCGTGGCGTCTCTCTCTTCTTTCGGGATCGCGGAACTGGTAAGACGTGTGATCTGGACACGGCCTAGCGAGGCTTCGAATGTCACGTGTGCCCCTCGAACTTTTCCGCTGGTGGGGAATCGCAGCACAGGCCAGCCTGGACGCCTGACGCCTCTCCGCCTTCTGATCGCGCGTGCTCTGACAACTGAAGGCGACCAAGTTTTATGCGGTAGTTACGCGGAAGGTTTCAAGACACACATTTATATCTAAACAAGTCAACAGAGGTTAGTACGACCAGATTCTCATGTGCTCAAAACGGTGTAGCGGACCCGAGTGAGGATAAATTGAATAAACGGAAAAGAATATATAATTAAACCTCTCGATCGTGTGTTTCCCTCTCATAGTCAGGCACCAAGTCTAACCTAACCTTACCCCGTTCACATTGCTACTTCGGACCTGAATGTGAACCCCCTTCCCGTTCGGTCCGGTAGTTTTCCTACCTCCGAAGTTTTGGGATTTGCGCGTGGACACCCTTCCCGCCTTATCCGTAAGCCTAGTTTTCCTACCTCTGTAGTTTTTGGGATTTGCGCGTGGACATTCTTCCCGCCTTATCCGGAATCCTAGTTTTCCTGCCTCTTCCGTAGTTTTGGGATTTGCGCGTGGACACCCTTCCCGCCTTATCCGGAATCCTAGTTTTCCTGCCTTTTCCGTAGTTTTCGGATTTGAGCGTGGACACCCTTCCCGCCTTATCCGCAATCCTAGCTCCTTCGTCGTTCTGGGGCTCGTGCGCGGCCCCACCCTCGTGCTACCTAACGCCCGCCAAGTATTCTCCCGGCTTGGCCTCGCCCGAAAGTCAAGCCCGGTGGATTTTTCGCCTCCGACGAGAAACACAAGACTTACACTCACAAAATACCCTCCCGGCTTGGCCTCGCCCGAAGGTCAAGCCCGGTGGATTTTTCGCCTCTGACACGAAGTACAAGACTCCGGCTAGCCCGTTAGGTCGTAGCCCAGGAATTGGACTCTGCATAACCAACGTCATCTGCCTTTTCCTCGACGTAAATAAGGACATCCGGTCAAAGCTACCCGATCCCCTGTGGAGTGGAACCCTCTAGTCAGGTGTTTCGGTGATTTACTAATTTTCTTGTAAAGGACTCTTGGATCCGTCTGAGATCTGTACCCCAGCCGAGAAAGCATCCTTACAATTAGCCCCCGAACATGGACGCCGAGACTAGCTAGAGATTTGTCCAAGTGGGCTAAAGAACCACCGTGAAAAGGGAAGAGTCGCCCGGAGAGTCGAGACGACTGCCCCTACCCAGAGTCGGGAAGGAATAGGAGGATTTAAGAAGGAAGTCCGCCCAGGAAAATAAGACGATGAGTACCCCTAAGGAATCAGACGGTGAGTCCGAAGAAGCCGATTTTATCAAGAACACTGGTGTAGGAGTTCGCTGGATATATGCTCGCCGAAAAGACGAACTCAACTTACTCGCCGTTGAGTTTGGCTTTAAAGCGGATGGTACCGTCGAGGAGGCCAGGGAGGCGTTCGCTAACCTAGTCAGCGCAGGATCCTTCCCACAACGGGTGTGGACCCGACTAGCTCAGTTCCAGGAACAGTATAGCAGTCGGGCCCCGAGCCCCAACCCTGCGGGGAAGAACGATGAGATGGGACAATTTGCGGAGTTCCTTCGGATCCCCGTCGGCTCTGACGCCGCGCCGATCAAGGTTCCAACGCGTCATCGAGGGATACATCCAGGAACGACACACGGCGTCGGGGTGCCGCCAGGAGAAGTTCGCTCAGCCACTGGCCTACAGGAACAAAATGTACGGGGTAACACGACTCCCACTCAGCATTTGCTCCCCGAGAAGTTGCATAAGTGGAACCTACGGTTCGACGGTAGCTCAGATCCGTTGGCTCTCGTCGCCGCTCTCGAGGAGAAGATGACGACATATAGGATAAATCCGGATGAGATCCCCCGGGCTATGTCCGAAATCTTCGATTGTCCGGCGGCACGGTGGTTCCGCACTAGCCATCTGCAGTCCGCCTCTTGGAAAACTTTCCGGAGGGAATTCCTGGATTTCTTCCTACCTCCTCGATATTTCGAAAGTTTAGAGGATGAGATTCGTACCCACATGCAGAGGAAAGGAGAGTCTTTCAAAACATACCTGATCGAGCTCAGGACGAAGATGCAACAGGCCGGGTACCGAGAAAAGGAACAGTTGTACCGAACGTACGAAAACATGGCTCCCGAGTATCGGCTGTATATCAAGCGCGGCGAACTCGCGTCATTGAAGCAACTGACCCACATGGCTACCGAGTACGAGAGTGTCAAACAACTCGAGTTGATTCGATGTGAAACCCCAGGGGTGACGGGCGGAAGCCGCGAGGGATCGCAACTTCGACTGTCGCCGAACCCCTTCCGGAGCTCGGAGAGTACTGCACAGGCAGGACACGTGACCCACCGCATGATCGAGCAAGGAACCTCACGAGTAGGCGTGCAGCGGGCCTGCGGCCGCTGCGGTGAGAATGGACACTTCCGTCGAGACTGTC